GAACAAAAGATGCAACCAAAATGTACCTCATGTAAGTGCAGGGAATCGAAGGTGTTCTAGCTACATCAATCCGACCACTCACACAAAAATATCGGCGATACTGGAGATAACAACGTGTGATGCTATACGAAGGAACCAAGAAGTCTTGATCGGCGAACATCATCCGACGAATGATCGATGAATATCAATGGCCAAGTGTTAGAAAAATCCGATTTGGTTCCTAGAACATGGATTCTGCATCGTCGCCATTCAACCCGATACAAATCGGAACATGGGCCAATTTAATCAGAAATCCGCAGAAATGGAAATATGTGAAAAGAGGTGAAAAAGGCATCAGCAATGCACCAGCACTTCAGACGGATGCCACGCTGCTAAACAACCATCTGCGGTTGACACGGGCTATGACACAGCGAGACCGCCCACATATGGGTGGTTTGAACCCTTGACAAGAGTGAAGTACAAGTACGGGCCGGATTTAAGAGATTCTTCGAGGCGTGCTATCTCAACCTGATGAGATCACATAAGGGCGAAATGCATAGTAGAGGAAAATGCTTTCGGGTAGATAAAAGGCAATTTACGTAGGTTTCAGCTGCAGTTAAGTGATTGAACTGGCCAAAGTTCGCTTCAGTGTGAACTATGGTCCACATTGAAACTGTACGTCGCAATCCAATCACACAACGTGCACTTCAAAATGGCCCCCCAAGCAGTCTGTAAACGTTGTGTCATGTTGCTCGTAGTGACCCGGTAGCCAAAGGGCTCGGCTACTATTCCAATGTTTCCGAGGTTCGAGCCCTGATATTTCCACCTCATGAGGTCAAACAATGTTGAAACGCGCCGTGGTGTGCAGAGTTTTCGAGCGGGTAACACGCAACTTCCAACTGTTTCGGCTACCATCCTAGTGATCGAACTGACCAAGATCCATTACAATGCGAAGTACGATCTTCATTGAGATTGCGCATCGCAATCCAATCACACAACGTGTAGTTCAAAATCGATCGCCAACCAGTCATTCACCGTTGCCTGTAGTGAAACGGTGGTCGCAACTAATATTCAGATGGTCCCGGTTTTGATACTCGTTGTGATCAAACAAAGTCAAAACGAGTCGCGGTGGGTGCTGTTATCGGTAAGGAAACACACGATTCCCTTCTGATTCATCCAAGTGCCTTCTGAAAAATTCTCGATCGGCATGTAAGCGAAACAGCTAAATATCCCATATTTATTTGTAAAAAACGATATTTAAGGTACCAGTTTCATACGTAGAGTCTGCTCAATTTGACTGTAGGCTGTGGTGGATACCAAGCACTACACGCTTCCACTCGGGTGAAATGCCTGCAAAATCGAGTGGAGGAAATAACTTGTTACACTGGGTAATGCAAGCCTATGACTGTGTTCGGATGTAGAATCTGGGAGCAAGATCATTATACGGTAGACACTCAACAGTCCCATAGCAATGTAACCATCTGCATTTGCGATTCAAAATAATGCTCACAAATCCCATGCTAAAAGGCATACCGTGGATGGCAGCTCATCTGAACAACACTATCATAATGGGCGGAAAACAAACGAGTTGTTTCAATGACTGCATAAATGATGGCAAGAGTCAAGAATGGCGCTAACGCACAGATATAAGCAAATTCTACCTGAACCACTAAGTTCCTGGGATACGTGATCGTACAATACGATGAAGACTAGAGCCGGTTAACATGCAAGAGACAGACCGAATGCTAACATTAACATCCTAACACCGAGACCAGTTTACGGAATGACAAGGTAAAAAAAAGCAAATTTTGCCGTTACTGTGTGAGTAGCTCACTGAATCAGATGTTATTAAAGGATGAAAAGAACTGTTCCCGACTCCGTCCAGGAATGCAGACCTGCTATAATGGATACCTATAGCTACGGAATTAGAAGCCAATTCACATAGAATCCCGAGGATCGTGAAAAAATCAATAGGAACGAAACCTAACGCCATTCAAAAAGTAGCATTTAACTTGAGGAAGATATATTGATGTTGTTTTATTCAGAAGTCCCACGGGATATCATACAGTCTATTTAGCGCTCATAACAAACGACAACTTGCCTCTCGAAAATTTTCGACAGGAAGCGTGAGAACAAACATGCTTAGGTGACGGTACAATGGGACTCCAAGTACTAATCAAGTTCGAATACTGGCCGAGCAGATGTACCATGTAAACTAGTTGATACTGGCAGACGTTATCCAGAAAATGAGGTCACTATTGTGACTGCATGTGAAGCTTGATACAGAGAATCTCATCACTAGATGACAGGATGAGTTAACAGGCTACCTAAAGTGAGCCATAATTACTAGAGGTCTTGACTTATAGAAAGAGTGCGCAAAATACCGGCCCAAATTGTGTAAGTTGACACGAAAAATGTGAGAAACCGACGCTCACGGGCTCTACATGGACCGTATCATCCCGAAATTTACACGCCGATGTACTTCAGGGCAGCGCCACAAAAGCCACGGAGGATATACCCACATGGGTCATGTTGTTTGTTGTATCTGGTATAAATGTTTATGCGATCAAGCGTGGCATCGCAAACGTTGGCGAACACAATCCGACTGGCCACTACCTGCATTTTACAAGCTTTACACCAATGCGGTATAAATGGACAATTGTGAAGCTCTTATTTAGTCATGCCAGAGGACTGTGCTCGGCAGACTGTCTAACCGATGAGCTGGAACGAATTACAACTACACTGAGGTCAAACGGTTAGTCTCGAAGAGTTATAGAGAAGCGCAGCCAATAACGAAGACCAAAAGACTTGCTACAAGAGGCAGCCAAGAAGAGTGTTTATATCGAATTACATTTCAGGGGTGATTATGCCACATTAAGGGTCTGATCGCTGCTGCGCATAGGAGCTACTATGCTGTTCAGGTCAGCACCATCAACTGAAAAAGCAAGTTGCCGGTATCTCATCCGCATGAAGCTCTCCCAATCGGCGTCAGCTCTCATTGTGTATACCAATTCACACGTAACTGTGAGGCCGGTTATATTAGCAGAACCGATAGGGCTGAAAGCTGTGTTCATTTACTGGCACACTGAACGGGGCGCTTGTTAAGCGAAAGCTAGTTTCGTCCCTGGATCCTGTCCTGTCATATGCACCGTCTGTTATTTTATCGGTTATTGTTAATGGTAATTAAGAGACAATACTAAATGCTTGCATCTACCAGCTGTCGTCTTGCTCTACTCCTCAAATTTCTGGTTGTGTCTGGTGTAATGCCAAATTCAGGCAAATGTTATGCGGTGGTTAGTAACCACAAATTTGCATGTTGCTGTGTCCACTCCATTGTACTTGCGTTAGTGTACCATATTGGCCATTCTGATTGATGACTAGGAGTTATTTGATCTATTACATCACAGTTGTTTCCCGACGCTTAGCTCTATTCGCAATAGTTGATTGCTGCCTAATTTAGTCACTTAATATCGTCCTACACAGTTGATTGTTTTCTACGCAAACGATGGTTTCAACGACAGTGCATCTTTCGGTACTTTCACCTCAATAGCTTGACCCAACGCTACGTGAACTATGAAGGTTTCCGATGTGAAGAACCCTGTCCTTGTTAATTCATGGTAATATCATCACCTGAGTGGGTGCAAGAAGTTCGTGGGGTGGACACAAAGGGCATATCGTTGATGCTTGATTTCTAAAGGAACATGTAGGCTCCCAGCGTAGTTAAAAACCGGAGAGACATGCTTTCGGAACTCTACTCAGGATGACGGGTATCGATGGTGCAGAGTGATGGCGATGGACCGGAACCAAATGGAAATGGTGATGTAACCTCGTTTCAGCACATGGCGAAAATAGCATATATTATCGAGTAGTAGGGTGAATTACAGTGCTTTTTGGAAATTTGTCGCGGCCAGAAAGTCACTCCACATCCAGGAAAGCGCTAAATGCCCGGTTCTTCCTATCGGGACTCGGGAGTCAGACTAGTTGCGGCGAAGCTTCGCAAAACCCCCTTAGCAATTTACATCCCAACATTGATCGGTGGTGGCTTGCAAAGGAAATCGTAGCTCTGAGGGCCAACCCTGTTTTCCGCTCCTTCATAACGGGCATGACAGTGGAGGATGAGCCGCGCTATATCGCAGTTAGATAGCAGTCATGGCGGTCAGCCGCCGTCACCCATGGCCCAGTGGCACAAGTTGCTGGCTCGTAAGTGTAAGGTCATAGGTTGGAATCCGGCGGATGTGCATCACTTACGATTCTCAATAGGACGAGACGATCGCCTAGCGCTTTCCTCGATGTGTGGTGTCTATCTGCCTGCGTCTAGATGTGACGAATCTTCTCAAAAACAGCATATGACTTAGAAGAGTATAGCTGTTTAATTGCATACAGTAACTCAAAGCAATCAGCTGCGGACGTTACCTACGAGCAGCAAGAAATAGGACGCAAGATGACGGCATTCTAAAGAAGGTCAGAGGTCGCACGTATCGCAGTCAATGACTGTTTCGGTCTCATAAGAGTCCATAAAAGGAATGGAAAACGATGGCAGGAGGAACATCCGAAACAGAAGCTACTAATTAGTCACAAGAGAAGCACTTCTGTTAAGGCCATTAGTCATCCGAAGTAAGTCACGATGACTGCATACATGGGCTTATGGGACAAAGGATTATCGAGTCCTTTACCAGACGCTTAATCGGATTAGAACTAGAGGCCGTTGAAAAGGAAGGTGTGGTGATCCCAGTGTGAGTCGCTTCCCGATCGAAAGCGAAAAATAGTTCAGCACTTAGGAACTTCGCACGACGAAAGTATCACTGCAAAATCGTGACCGGCGATCTATCCACCGGAGCCAGAGATATACCAGAAAAGCTTATTAGTAAAAGAAGCCGCTTTAAAAAGCGACACAATGGGCAATAGTGAGGGTACGAGAAGATAGTGTGAGGTGAGGTTCACACCAAGCAAATTGATGTGGCACCAGGAGGTTGGTCAAAGTTGGATCGAAACAAGACCTGACATTAAAGCAGATACAAATTCGTGTACGTGTAATGTGTATTTTCCCTTGATTTACAATGTATAATATCTACACCATATGCATGAGTAGTAAAAACAAGGAAAGTATGCATCGAAAATAACAAACTCGCTGAGATTTTTGAGTATTCCAAAAAAGCACTATAGAAGAGAGTGAGGCCAAGACAAGTGGGTGGTGGAGAAACTGAACAGGAAACTGAACAAAGGATGCAGAATGGAGATCCGAAAATCAATCCTTAATCCATTAAGAAAGTAGAAGGGCGCCAACCAAGAACTGGAGAGATTAAAGTCCCGTGAACGAAAGCGAGAAAGCAAATACATCGGCGCTGACGATTGGGAGGAGGGGACAGGTTGGTATGCACTGAGGTACATGAAAAGCGAAGGATGAAGGACAGATTGAGAAGTTAAGCCAACTGCAAAAGCTGAACAAGGTTAGTCAGGCCTCGTGAAGTTACACACAGTGATGCGGGGAAATGAGAATCAATGGCGCGAATAAGACACAGCATACTACTGAGAAGGAGGAAAACCGAAGGCAAAGTAAGGGGACGGGCGCCAAATGCTTCGACAGGATGAGTGGTTTAGGGCTGGCGCAAATTCCATACACTAAAAAGCGGGAAACCTTAGCAACAATGATGCTGAGGCGTCAATGTGAAACAAGAAAAGACATCTGTAAACCGCACAATAATAGAAAACGCTGAAAATAAGCAAGCCCTGATAATTTGTGATAAGCTGAGAAGTCGGAGTGCATGGGCAGGTAAGTGAAATATAAAACCTTCACATATTTGCACAAAAGACGGACCGTAAAAGAGATCCAAAAATTCTAAAAATAGGGTAAAGTATGCCTTTGAAAAAACAGAGGATAAAGGCAGAGTGGAAGGTCCACGGCACCCAGTTAAAACAAGTACAAATAAGCAATGAAATCTGTAGGATGGTAGTCAGCGATAAGTGTTTGTACGTTGGCGCGTGGCATTTGAGAAAACATTTATTGATTGTCCTGTCGAATTGCTGCGAAGAGCTCGGGTGTAAGCGGCGTCAAAAAGCGGTAGCAGGATGGAAGAACGATCGAAGGTGAAAATACAGGACCATTGCACGACGATTAGGTGGCGATCGGTGTTGCGCACCGCAGCTACCATAAAGAAGGTTCAGTAAACTCATGAAAATCAACACCACCTCAAACAGTACGGAGATCTCTACTGGGGAGAAACAGGTGCACAGGATAGGAGGGTAATGGTGAAGAAGTGTAGTGAAAGAGCAGAAACCTCCCTTACGATTATCAAATATGAGATAAAAGTGATGACGATAAAGCAAAATAGAAAGCTCAGCGAGGAGAGGGAGAGATGAAGAACAAGTAAGCTATGTACACGCCTGTAAGCTATTCACATGCACAAGGCAACGAAGAAAGGGAGGAACGAGAAAGCAAAACTAACGAGAGACCGTTGAAGTGATTTGAGTATGCCCCAAAGTTCCGCGTGAACCGCGGAAGAGGATTGAAAATGATGTGATTTGAAAGACGAAAACATCAATAGATGTGAATAAATTCATGGGAGCATATAGGAAGATCGAGTATCCACAGGCAAGATGCTACAGAGATGTGGTGAACAGGGACTGGGTGAAGAAGATCCAGGGGATGGGAAAGTTGTTAACGTAGGGCAAACATTCACCTCGATCGAGTCAATGGCATATTCGGAGTAAGCACTTTCAGAAAATCGCGAACGTGAGTCGTTGAAAAACAGACGTTGGCTTTTACTTGCCCCAGGGTATGACTGACGTAGCTGTTGTTTGGCAGCGACCATTGTTTCTACTGAACAACAAAGAAGCATAGAAGAAACGTTTAACGCAGTTTCCAACTGACCATATAGCAGCAACAACGAGATAACGCTACCGAAGACAAGATATAAGGTGATGGGATAGAATGAGGTACCGTAAACTGTTGCGGTCTAGAACCGTCAGCTCTAGTGTGGTGCACGAGTTACCAAACAACGGATTAGCCACAACTCACATTTGAACGTAAAACGCTGATCATGGGATGTGTACAGTTAAGTATTGTACTTAAAGTCATGTATAGAAACGTCGATGGAGGAAGAGAGTTTAAGTGGACCATCAGAGGGCGTACAGTTGATAATAGCAAAATTCCAGTTGATGGAATAGGGCAAATTAAGTGTAAACATGTACACACCAAACATCGACCTGAGCCTGACCCGGTAAATGAGCAAGGAGAAAAACAAGTGATTGGACAAAGTAAAAAACCATGGTAAACCAGCTATAGAATAAAATGAAACTGGTTCAATTTAGTCCACAGGCAAGGTTTGAGCACAAGTGTGATGAAGTAGGACACTATGGCCTGCAAGGGCCTAGTAAAAAGTCACACAGGTAAAAAATACACGAGGAAGACGCTAAAGCTGGCAAAATGCAACAGAAAAACGAGCTCCGGAAATCAATGCTGGAGTGTCCACGGCATTTATGGATTGCGACACCAGTCATTTCGGTCACTCTGGCTGTATCGAAGTGAGGAGCTTCCCGCGCAGCTCGCTCGTAACATTGCACTCCAAGACCAGTTTCCTCCTTGTTTGGATTAAACTGCGTAGTCGTTAACCCCCGCAACCCGATTTTCACATTCGGCTCTGACTATCCTTACCTGGTGGCAGGATTGCCGAACAACCTCCCCGTGGTGCTAGCTGGGCGGTTCAAGTATTCCTCGTTCCGGCTAATGGTTCGGTAGCAGCGTTCCAGGAAGTGGTTGGTTTACGCTTGACAACCGTTCTCCCTATAAAAAGCCACAAGTGTCTGCTTAGCAACACTGTGACGTGGCAGATGTGACGTTAATTAAGTCACTGTCCCTTGTCTTCTTTGGAGAGATTGTTCATCGGCAAGCAATTCGGTGAGCAGATTCTGCTTTTGACTTCGGGCGTGTTGGGCCCCTGGCATAGCTTCTCACCATCCGAAAGGCGTATGAACTGAATGTTCAATCACCGGCTGCCAAGGGGTGCGAAACCCTTATCTCACCCTGCTGTCTTGTAGATAAGGCACTTCGGCCAAAGGCTCGGGGCCGTGGTCCCCTAAGACAACCCACCTACTTCGGCCCAGGCAACCAGGTAGTCTTTCGCCAATTAATGAACTATGGAACCACACAACTACGAGTACTCTCGTATGCTTTCCTGATCCATCGTCTTGTTACTGCGCCAATGTTGAAAACACGCGCCACTATTTAACATACTCCCATTGTATCATTCATCCCCATTGTTATTTGATTCTTTAACTGTGAACAACCCAATTACCGCCGATGAAATTGTTCTCTCACAACCCATCAACTCAACCACACAGTCTTCGATAGGTAGCTGCAAGCCCCGAAGTCTGCCATCTCCGCTACTGCGACCTGGAATGCAGTTCGAACTAGCAACCATCACCGTGCGCACATTATTACAGATCGGACAACAAGCTGGGCTTGCACGCACGCTGCACACGCTTGCGATGGATGTCTGCTGCCTGAGTGAAACTCGACTCCAGGATTCCAACACAGTCTACCAACTATCCTTACGAGTCTAACCACTCACCTACTTTATCTTCGCCTTTCTGGCGACGTTGAGTTAGTAGCATCTGGGCAACCTGTTGTTGGACTCGCCCACAGTGCCTGAGCCGAGGCCGCCCTCCTTAATTGGATTCCAGTCAACAGTCGCCTATGCGCTATGAGGCTCTGTCGCTCTTGCAAGGTTAGCAGGTACCGAGCAGACAAGCGTGCTCTTTTCGTGATCACCGCCTACGTGCCCACTGATTGCCGCTCGTATACAGTAGTCAAGGTCCAGTTTTATCAACACCTTCATGATCTGTTCGTAAGGGCGCCAAAAACAGACATCATTGTTATGACAGGAGACTTCAACTCATATATTTGTCGGCTGCTGCCATGGGAACGCCGCCTCGGTAGACCGCATGGGTATGATGGCGTTCGCTCTAACAAATGAGAGAGACTGCTAAGTATATGTGCTGACCGTCAACCTTTTCTCTCCAGTACGAGCTTTCCTCAACCTGGTGCCCTCCATCGTCAACCCAGTGTTGGTCACAAACTGATCACATAGTCATAAGTCACAGGTGGCGCGGCAGTGTACGCGATTGCCGATCATTTTTGTCAACTTGCATTGACACTGATCATGTATTGGTGTGTGCGATAGTTTACATGCGATTCGGCGATCCACCCAGGGTCAATCAAACCCCACTGACCACATACAAGTTGGAGGACCCAAGCGTAAAAACGCAGTATCAACAGAGGCTTCGTGGAAATCTCGCTCTGCCCCATGCTGATCAACACTGGTCAAATTTGCAACAAGCAACACTGTCCGCCGGCTTGTCCAGCTGCGGATTCACCAGCTGCACAACCACAAAGTGAAATTCGGTAAGATCCTCGGAACTCCTAGATCGTCGACGGGCTGTGCCCGCCGGTGCGAAGCATAATGAATCGTTGATCTATCAGTGAACAGCTGAAGCTAAGTGTTTGCTCTGATCGTGGAGCCTGCTGGTCAAAACGAGCTGCTGAGATGGAAGCAGGTGCGTCGGCTGGAAACTTCCGCAATTCATTTTACCTCATCAAAACCAGTGGTTGCCACACACACGCTGTCAGTCAGATAATTTGCGAGTCAGAGGGCACGTAAACAACCAACCTGCACAGGCGATTGGGTCGCTGAGCAGGGTACTTTGCTTTTCAATGTAAGTGCTCAGCACAACCCACTAGGACACCGTTCGCCTCGGATGGTGCTGGGCCTGTCGCCACAGATGCTCCTAAGGAAACGGAGATGCGAAGCGAAATCCAGTATTTGAAGCGTCATAAAGCTCTCGGTCCTGATTGCCTACCACCGGCTCAACTGAAAGATGGCAGGAATGCACTTAGCGAAATCGCATCACTGTTCACCAGAGGTTGGATTGGCGAGAAAGTCCTAATTGCATGGGGAGAATCGGTCATTGTCTCGATTCACAAGAAAGGGTTCCGCGAAAATTGTGCCAATTAACGCGGAATTTCGTTGATACCGGTTGCGTCCAAGATTTTTGTGTCGGTTTTACCCCGCAAGCTTTCAGCGACTAGAGAGAGCGTTTCCCGAGAGGGACAAGCGGGTTTCCGTCTAGACCGGGGTTGGATTGACTAAATCTTCAGACTCCGCCAACTTCTTGAGTTCCGTCACGTCCACCGACGGCCAACAATCCTAGTGTCCTTGGACATCTGAGCGGCATTTGACTCAGTAGATAGATCTGCATTGTGAAGCTGTCTACTAACGAAAGATGTGGCCGACAAGTGTGTAACCATCTTGAAGGATCTCTACAGTCATATGTCGGGCAGTCAGAGCTTACGGCACGTTTTTCAGTTTGTTTCCTGTCACCTGCAGCGCGCGCCGCGGTTGTCCTATTGCACTTTTCATCTTCAATTTTGCCACCAAAGATGTCATCCAACGAGCATTGGAAGTCCCTCAAAACTGATGTATTGCGCATCTCCCAGGTGACAGAGTTGCAGACTTGGACTACCCCAATGATATTATGCTACTTGGAGATGAGCCGCAAGCCGTCGAGAGCGTTTTGGACCGCTCAACAATAGCGGCGTCTAAGTGTGGCTTGTAATCCAGCCCAGATAAATGTAAAACACTACTCTAGGATTGGCAGATGCTCATTGTTGCCCTCCCCATTGCTGGTGACGTCCTGGAACAAGTCTCAGCTTCACCTACCTGGGGAGTTGCATCACAGCTGGCGGCGGTGTTAGAGTTGAGGTCTCACAACGGATAGCAAAGGCCTGCCTTGCATTCATCAGACTGAGATACCTATGGCGTCGTCGCGGTGTAAGTTTCAAGCTGAAGGGCAAGGTGTACATTGTCTCTGTCCGTGCGGTTTCCTTGTACAGGTGTGAGACCTGACCTATTCGCTCGGAAGACACGAAGCGGTTATCAGTTTTTGATCCTTGTGTCTGCGTAGAATTGCTCACGTGTGGTGGCAGCATCAAGTGAATAACGCAGAATTCTGAGGGCAAGCGTTAAGAGCAAACAACACATGCCTCCAAACCATTATTCTCCGACACCGTATGCGTTGGCTCGACCACGTATTGCTCATGCCAGCGTATCGCCTTCCCTGTCGAGCGTTATATGCGCTCCCCGGATGGAGACCACGCAAATCGGACTGTCAGTGGTTAAAAACGCTGGATGTGATGGCGCGCAACAAACACCAGTGGCGACAGTGTTGTTCAACCGCGTCATCTATTAGTTAATGTCTAATTGAACATGAAACAGAAAATTAAAAGCACGAAAAGATTCGTAACGACGTGTGTGAAACCGAAAAAAATCGATCTTGCTTCTCAGTTCAGTTCAGTACACAAACTACGGTCCGAGCACCAAAGTGCGGTGGATCCAGTTGCCACGACTAACAGCGGAAGAATAACAATAAATAACACCGGTAAGATAGTGGGGTTGGGTGCAAAGAGAAGGTAAAGAAAATGAAAGCAAGGATGAAATGCATCAGAGTAACCAGAATGGAACGAAAATTGACAACCAGATGAAAGAAGCCGAATGCAGGAACGCCACTGAGTTCGTGGCTGCGCCATGTCTGATCCGGTCTCCAAGCATTGGTGCTCACCGTCCCGAGGCATCCATTTACGAAGAAGGCACGCACCAGCCAGACCAAGTCTCTCAGGCAATTTCTTCAAGATTCTACTCCATGTCATGTACTGACCACTTCGCGATTTTGCTCAACTTGGTGCGGCCACGGCGTATAATGCACTGAGGAAGCCGGTCAACGGGCATACGGGCGATCTGGCCTAGTCAACGTAAGCGATTATGA